GGGATGCTCCGGGATCCTCCGGGATTCCCAGTGCTGTGCCCGCTGCACCGGGGCTGATGTTTTGATTCCCACCCCACAAAGCCATTCTCACTACTCACACCCCTCATTTTCCTGCCTTGTACAAAGAAAGGATTAAAAACCACAACAAAAAGCTAAGAAATCCTCAAATTTAATGAACAGAGAAGCCCACAGACGTGTAGCTTGGCTTTTTAAATACCAGTGATATCATATCCACGTCTTGAGGAGATTTAATGGCATTAACAATTTAATTATTTAACAGTTTAACAAGAGGAAGGCACAAGCACCTGCAGGACTCATGTGAATCACAAACTTCTCGTGGCAAAGGGAACTTTACAGGTGGCACAGAAAAACCAGAAAAGGCCATTGCACGAGGGGGGTCGATCCTCATGATTTAAATACAACAAATAAAATCAAATACAATTTAAATACCCACAGGTGAAGCAAACACTCAGCAGTGACCCTTGGGCAGTGATGGTGGCAAGGGGAGAAATTTCCATCCTCCTTCTTTATCCGGGGAATGGCTCTGTGAGGACAGCAGCCACCCCAAAGGCACAGCACTGGGACACTGGTAGGGTCAGCCAGCCCAGCTGTGCTCCCATCCCTCTCTGAGACACCCCAAAACCTCAGCCTCAAGCCTTATATCACCTTCAGGATAAACAACCCCCAAAATCTCAGTGCAGCTGCCCTGGGAGAGGAAACAACACAAGAAGGACACAAACCCCAGGTGATTGGAGAACCCCCAGCCCCAAGGTGAGCATCCAACCACCTGATTGCCACTAAAAGCCGTGGCTGAGGTGGTTCTCAGCAGAGGGGACGTGTGGGATCCCCAAAGCCCCCCTGGAGGCTGGGTTGTGCCGGGGTGAAGCAGAGCTGCGGGAGGCAGCGAGGGCGATGTGTGAAATCGTGGGGCGGCCGGCAGCTATTTCTGCTCCGTGTCAGCACCCACTGACAGCACCGCCCTGGGAACACACAGAAGCTCCAGGAATCTTTCTCCCCGTTTTTTTTTTCCCACGGAATTCACCTGTACATGAGTGTACCTCCACGTCAGCTCTCGGCATTGTGAGGTGTGGAGCTGGTTCTGGGCACAAAGCTGGGGGTTGTGGGGTCAAAGTGAGCTGCTGGCACCCTTGGAATCTCCATTTAGGCTCAAAATTCCCCCAAATCTGATGGGCAGAAGCTTCTACAAATCCCTTCTCCTTCCTTCTGCTCAGGGTCACTCTTTTCCCTCTTAATTTCTTGGGACTTGGAGCGAGACCCAGGCAAATGTAACTGATTGTGTAACGTTTTGCTCAAAAAGCTTCTTAAACAGCCACATATTTCTATTGGATTTCCCTTGCCCTTCACTGCTGATTACTGGAGTATTTATATATAAATAGAAGCTGTCTTCCCCATAATCTGCTTGTTTCTCTTAATTAACTCAGGGCTGCTCTCCTTGGGCTGCTCAGCCCTTGGGTTTTGGGGGTGCCAGCACCCAGCGGCGCTCAGCGAACCCAAATCCACCAAAATTTCTGCTGAAATTGCTTTTTTTTTTTAGCTGGTTTTGAGGAAGCAAACCCCTCCTTCCCAAACTTTATGTGCTCAGTATCTGCCCCATCCTCCCAACCCCCAGCTCAGGGAAGAGCTGGAACGTGATTTCTTCATCTTCCTCCCTCCTCACAAAACTTTCCCCTAATTCAAGGAACGTCTCCATTTGATAATTATTTTAATCATTATTACTCATCTTTCCCCTTTCTTCCCCCCCCCCCAAAAAAAAAACAAAAAACCTTCGTCCTGGGCCTGTCAATCACTTTAATAGCTGTTTACAACCTATCATCAAGTCTTGCATAACATCCACATGACTTCACTCAGATGCCTCCGACACCCAAAAGCTGCCCCTGGGCTCTATTTCAGGAGTGATGGAGCCCACGGCACCAACTGGCTGCATCCCCCGCCGGCGTGCCCGGGGTCCTGGGATGGGGAAAATCAAAGAGAAAGACAAAGCCAAACTGTTTTGTAGTTAACACAAGACAGCCCCACGCTGATTTGGGTGGGCTCAGACCCCCTCCCCAATATTTCGGGGGGATGTCGCATCCATCGGGAGCCCAAAGCGTCCTGGAGCATCCCCCGGGATGGCAGCGGCTGCAGCTCTGCTCTGTGCCCCGCTCTCCTCACAGCACTGGGACGCAGCAATTTTGTGAATTTTGTTTAAAATGCCGATTTCTAGCAAAGTTCTCCACCCCGGCGGGCTGGCGGGGGCCGGGGCAGAGGCGCAATCTGTGCTGGAGCTGCTGCCAGCCCTTTTCCTCCGGCAGCCTCGTGGGGCGGTGGAGGGAGGGGGACACGACGGCTCTTTTTTAAGCTCTCTCGTCCTCCCCCTCTCCCTCAGGTTTCATAACCCTTCAAAGCACGAAAAGGCTCCTCCGATTCCCGGCTAATGAGCCCCTGCGGAGGAGGAAGAGGAGGAGGAGGAGGAGGAAAGTTCAGCAGCAAAATCTCCCCATGCTGGGGGTGGTGGGGGACACGGAGGGGTCTGGCCATGACCCCAGTTTGGCCACTTCTCTCCCCAAAACTCCCCTCGGCACGAGGCTGCCCGGGATGGGACGTCTCTCCCTCCCCTGAGTGCAAATATTTATTTACACAGCATAAAGGGGGTTATTTATTAAGCCACAGCCGGCAATTGTATTCAAACTAATTTCTCTTAATAAAGGCGCTTGTTGTCACCCCGGCAACAGCGCAGGAGCGCCCTTCTTTAAGGAAAATACTTCATTAATGGGGTGAAAATCGCCGTGGATGCAAAGAGGGGATCTGAGATGCTGAGGCTGGAGACACCAATCCCTGTCTTGGGAGATCTGCTCCATCCCCGGAGATGGGCTCCAGAGGGAGGAAATTGGGCCAAAATGTCTGTTTTTTGTGATTTATGTATAGATACAGAGGTCACCAAATGCAGGAGGGCGTCTGAGGGGGTTCTGCTCGCCAAGGGGAAGATGAGGGATGGCAGAGCTCCTAGGTGCTGCTTTGGACTGGAAAACACAATGGCTGCTTTATTAATAGATGTAATTACAACACTAATTAAGGAAGGTGTGGGATGAAGGATTTCTGACCAGGGTGACAGGTTAAACTGTGCAGAGAAAGACAGGAGATGATTTCTCAGCTCCATCTCTGCCTCAGAGAACAACCAAACCAAATTTCCCCTATTTTTGAAAATCCTGGATCCATCATTTTACCAAATGCTGCCCAATCCAGGGCTTGCAAAACAAAATACCCCAAAACCTGAAGGCAGCTCCTCATCCCCTCTGAAACCCAGACCTAAACTCACACACTAAATCATGATGGGGTTTTTTTGGGAGGTATTTTACTGAACAGCCACACAATGCTCCCAACCAGCTTGGGGAAAGCCACCAAGAGCCCACCCCAAAATAAAAGGACTCACACTGGGAAGTAGAGCAGGCTGTGATTTACTGGGACAACAACAACAGAGAACACGACTGTGCCGAGGCAAAGCTGCAGCACCTGCAGCACCACGGAGCATTGGGACACTGGGGACCTGGAGAGGTGACACCAGAGCAGAGAGCAGAGAGGTTCTTGTGGTCCTGGGGACCTGGAGAGGTGACACCAGAGCAGAGAGCAGAGAGGTGCTCATGGTCCTGGGGACCTGGAGAGGTGACACCAGAACAGAGACCAGAGGGGTGCTCGAGGTTCTGAGAACCCAGAGAGCTGACACTGAGAGCAGAGACCAGGGGGAAGCTCCTGGAGACCCGAGAGAGGTGAAACCAGAGCTGAGACCAGAAGGATGATCCTGGGGCCACACAGGGACTGGAGACCAGAGGGATGCTCATGGTCCTGGGGACCTGGAGAGGTGACACAAAAGCAGAGAGCAGAGGGATGCTCATGGTCCTGGGGACCTGGAGAGGTGACACAAAAGCAGAGAGCAGAGGGATGCTCATGGTCCTGGGGACCTGGAGAGGTGACACAAAAGCAGAGACCAGAGAGGTTCTCATGGTCCTGGGGACCTGGAGAGGTGACACAAAAGCAGAGAGCAGAGGGATGCTCATGGTCCTGGGGACCTGGAGAGGTGACACCAGAGCAGAGAGCAGACCCCTCATGGTCCCCAGCACTGGTTTCCCTCCTGTGTCACCCCCAGACACACAGACACGAGACAGAAGCCTGCTGGGACAGGCAAGGCTGCTACATGCCAAGGGAGGGAGCAAAAGGCAGCGGGGTCCGGACGGGCATTGCAGCCCCTCTGTAGGCACTTGGTCCCTCGATCCCGGGCTCCCTGGCTCTGCCCATGAAGCTCCAAAGGCACACGTTGGCTGCAAGGGATCTCACAAACTCCTGCTGGGATTGCAGAGGGCCTGAGGGAGCCCAGCACCATGTGGATGTGACGGGGTTTGGTCCCAGCCTCCAACTGGCTCGGTTTGTTTGTGCGTGGCTGGGCTCAATCCGCCTGGCTGTGACAGAGGGGCTGCTCTTCATGTGGTCATTGCCAGCCCAGATTCCCTTTGATCCATGAGATGAGCGTTTTGTCAGACCTTTGCCTTCTCTGAAAGCCATCTGAGATGGCAGGAGCCACGCAGGAGCCTCAGGAAAGCAGAGATCCTGGGCTGAGGGGCTGCAGTGGGGGCCTGGCAGTGATTCAGGGCTGGGAAGAGGCATCTAAGCAAGGACAGAGCAAGTGGAGCAGGGCAGAAGATCTGCTCTGGAAATTGGGCTGAGACCAGAAGAAACCAGGATCAGAGGGAACTGCTGTAGCTGGAAGTGCTGCTCCAGTTGAAAATAAAAAGCATCTACTGCAGGCAGTGGAAGGTTCCCTCCCAGGGCAAAATCCCGACTGCTGAGTGCAGGATTTTGGCCAGGCTGCTCTGTTTGCAGAGTTTGCTCTGATAAACACACACATCCCTGCAGCAGAGGAGTTCAGCTCCTTGGAGACATTTCCTTAAGGATAAATCCCTGCTCCTGTGCCCTCACTAACCCACCCAACCCTCCTCCTCCTCCTGCTCTTACACGCTGCCTGGGTTGTAGCACAGCAGGTTGAACTCCAGGTTTTCATCCCAGTGCCGGAGCAGCACAAAGAGCTGCTGGGCTGCGGCTTTCACCGCGGCCAGGCTGGATCCCTGCGGGAAGTCCTGCCCGCTCAGCCACAGGCTGGCTTTGGCAGCCACCAGCTCCCACTCGATGAAATAGGAAGCTGAGCTGTGCTCCAGCCAGGCCAGAGCCACAGCCGTGGCCCAGAGCATCCCCTCGGGCTCCGTCTGCTGCTGCAGCTGCGCCTCGCAGAGCAAAGCCTGCAGCTCGGAGCCGTCGGTGTCCCAGCCCCAGGCAGTGCCAGCCTGGCACTCGGCAGGGGAGGAGAAGCTGCGGATGGTGATGGCAGGAGGGGACAGATCCCTCTGGGCTCTCAGGGCTCTGGAGATGCTCTCGGCCGCGCTGCCCGATGAGTGCCGAGGGCGGCCGGTGCTCCCCAGCGCTGCTCCCCGAGTGTCTGCAGCGGTGGGACCCTTCCCCTGCCCCTTGGGGAGCGGCAGCTGCTGGCTGGAGTTCAGGGGTTTGTGCTCCGAGGAGGGATTGCTCCTCTTGCTGCTGTAGGAGCCAGAAGGGCTGAGGGACAGGCGGTGGCAGGCGAAGGGCGATGTCCACTTCAGCTTCTCCATGGGGATGCTGACGGCGTCGCAGAAGGCTGAATTCAGGAGGAAGGCACCGCAGGCCAGCTGCAGGGACACCTGCAAGGGAGGGTGGGCACAAAGGGAAGCTCTGGCACACCAACCGCTTGTGGTAGCTCAGGAAAAAGGCATGTGTGGATGAAACAGCTCTCCATCTCTGAGCAGGGCACTGGACATGGTTGTCAGAGACAGCAGGAGGAAGATTTGGGGGATCCTCCCCTGCTCCCCTGCAGTGACCACACAACCCCAGTGAGACCCAGAAAGGAGCTGCTCACCAGGGGAAGGTAGTCCATGCTCTCATTGTCGCCCTCAGAGCTGGCTTCGCTCCCTCTGCTCGGAGATTTACTCATGAAGCCTTTGGCAGCTCTAACCAGCAGCATGGTTTTATTGAGGGTCAGCCTGTCAAAGGATGAAAAGGTGTCTGTGACCTCTGTGCCCATCCTGACACTCACCCTTCTCCTCCAAAACCATCCCTGCTCCCCAGACACTGGCACCACGCTTAGTCCCAGCTCCAGCTGCTGTCCTTGGGGGTCCCTCCTCTCCCCCTGGCTCGTGTTCACATCACACCCACGCAGCTGAAAGGCACCTGCTGAGGTCAGAGGAAGGTCGAGCTGGCTCCTACCTGGCAGCAAAGAGCCTCTCGATGGATTTTTGGGCTTGTGCAGAGGAAGAAGACAGGCTGTGGAGCGGCCCTGGGAAGAAACACAGTGCTGGGGTTACAAGATGCTACTGGGGAGCAAAAGGGAGCAGAGTCAAGGTGTTGAAACATGGGCTTGTTTGGCTGCTGAATCTTTGGCACAAACCTTCCTCTCCCCTTGCCTCATTTTTCCTACATGGATAATAAAATTCCCACAGCTCTTAAAAATGAACCTGGGGGAGATTTATACCGAAAGCCACATCAGGTTCCATCCTTTGCACCTCAGAATGAGTCAGGCCCTGTGCTCACAAGCCTAGTTTTAGGTCATGAGTTTTAAAAAAATTCCCCAAAACTCAGCAGAAGCCCAAATCACTCAATGAATGGAGCGGCACCAAGTGCCAGCAGCTCTTTCCCTACCTTCAGGGCCACGGCAGCGCTCCCAGGCAGATGAGGACGGGGTGCTGGAGGGTGAGGGGCTTCTCTCCTCAGCATCTGCAACCGAGGAACCACATCAGCACCAGCACCCAGCCAAAAGCAGCACCCTCCTCCCACGGCACCATGGGGTTAATGAGCCTCCCTGTTAACTCAGCTCCGGCTCTGACGGTGCCAGACAAGGTCCGATCCAACTCGTCTTCATTAGTGGAGGATTTGGTGACAAGCGAGTGTCTCACATCCCCCCTGCCTCTAATTACAGCCGTTTCATCCCTCGTGTTATCCGCGGCACGGCTGCCAATTAACTCCCAGGCATTGTCAGCAGCACCACCTGCCATTCCAGGCTTTGGGGGGAAATTGAAGCTTTCTCACCATTTAAGGAGATGAGCCCCAGCCTGACACATGTCTGGTGAGCACCTTATGCAGAGGGGAAGGCAGAATTTAAAAAGATCAGAGAAGTTGTCCCAAAGCACTGAGCTCTCTAACACCAGGGAGGAGATAAATCTTACTCGTGCTGTAAAATCTGTAGTCTCCGTTGTGGCCACAGGCTGACTGAGGACGTCCAGGGGAACAGCCACGATGCCTCCTGTTCCCTGAACTCTTCTGTTTCCTCTGGTTGCCCTGCTTGGATGTTGCCCCTTGGCATGAGAGAAGAGAATGGCCAGTGTTAGAGAGGGACTGGCACATGCATGATGACAATGAAACCACAGAATGAGCTTGGTCAGGAACTGGAGTGACAGGACAAGGAGGAATGGCTTCAAACTGCAAGAGAGTAGGTTCAGATGGGCTACAGCAAAGAAATTCTTTGATATGAGGGTGGTGAGGCCCTGGCACAAGTTGCCCAGAGAAGCTGTGGCTGATTTCTCCCTGGAAGTGTCCAAATCCAGGTTGGAGCAGCCTGGGATAGTGGAGGTGCTGGCAGGGCATCCCTGGGATGGGCTTTAAGGTCTCTTCCAACCCATAACATGATGTGATTCTGTGATCACCTCTGGGCATCCAGACCTCAGAGGAGACCTTTTCCCTGGCTGTGGGAAGAGATTCTTGCCACCAAGAGCTTGGCTGTGAGTACGGATCTGGTGCCAAATTGTGCTGTGGCTTCGTAGGGTTTGCCCTGAGAGAAGTTCCCCAGTGACACCTTCCCTGCCAGGACAAGGAACTGTTACCTGTGTGTGTGTACTGGAGCAGGGTGGGCAGGCAGGAGCTGGTGCTCAGGTCCACAGGCACGAAGGCTGTGTACTTGCTGATGACATTACAGGCCTTGCTGGTGTGGACAGCGTTGAGCTGGAACCGGCGCCCAGACCCTGCCACGGGAGGGACAGCGGGGTCAGGGTCCATGGGCCCCGTGGGATCCCTCACACCCAGCTCCCAAACCCCCTCCATGCTTGGGGATCCATGGCCAGCAGGGGCTGTATCCCTGTATCCCTCTAAACTCTGCCTACTGCTACTCCTGCTCTTATTTCACATGTGACAGGGGTGACACGGCCCAGGGACACGTGTGGCTGCTGCTGGAGCTGGATTTCCCAGCTCCAAGTGACCAGCTCCTTAAAAATAACCATGTTATGGCATGCAGGAAGCAGAGGAATCACAGAATCGTGGAGGATAGGGAGTCAGAAGGGACTCTCAAGGATCATCAAGTCCAAGCCCTGCTCCTGAGGAGTGGGAAGGAACATGAACTCGGGAATAATCATGTGCAGCAAGGCTGCAGAAGCAGGAGAGCACAAGGCAGCTGAAGGAGGCTGTTATTTGGGAGCTGTGTGGGACATTCCCTAATATTTCACCACCAGCAGCTTTTGCTTTCACTCCAGAGGCTGCTGAGCCTGCTGGAAAGCCTTCCTGAGGCCAGGCAGGGTCTGCCTGAAGCCAGCTGTGCATTACCATGCTCGATTTCACACTCCCTCTCGGCGAGCTGCTCGAAATCCTGGATGAGTGACTTGGCTGCCAGGTGGTGGAAGGTCTCACTCCACAGGTCTGTGTCACCCTCCTCCCGGCTCTCCCGCTCCCGGAACAGAGCGTGGATATCAAATGTGACCTCCCACTGCACGGGCTCGTTGTTCCTCAGCCCCTTCACCACTGCCTTGCAGAGGGTCCTGGGGGAGCTCGGGGAGCTGCAGGCAGCGCCGATATCCAGGTCCTGGGGCTCCCAGTCGGAGGAGGTCTCTGTCTCAAAGGTGAGGGATGGATGCTGGGCAGACTCTGCAGAGAGGGGACAGGCAGATCATTAATCACCTCCCTGGGAGCTGAATTCCCCACTGGCACCACAAAACAGTAATTAATCCTTCCCAATTTTCACAAGCTGGCACGGGGCACCACCAAGCCCCAGCACGGACAGGCAAGGCTGGCCGTGCCTCCCCCTCTCCCAGTTACCCAAATCCCCGGGGCTCCGGCTGTCCGACGAGGAGCGCAGGCTCGAGATGGCATCGAGGGCTTCCAATCCCCTTGCTGGGGCTTCCTGCAGCCCTTCTGGCAGTGCTGAGGAGCTGGTGTCGTGGCAGAAGGACACACAGCTGTGCTGGAGCAGGGCCGGGCGCCGGGCGCCTGCACCACGGATCCTGGTGGCAGAGCCATGAGGGATGGCCGGGAGGGGCTGTGAGCAGAGCAGATGTTAGGGCTGGATCCAGCTGCAGCCAATGGCACAGAGCTGCTCTGTGCCCTCTGATCCATGCATGGACCTGCTCTGTGCCCTCTGATCCCATCTGCTCAAGGCATGGACCTGCTCTGTGTCCTCTGATCCTGTTTGTTCCATGCATGGACCTGCTCTGTGCCCTCTGATCCCTTCTGCTCAAGGCATGGACCTGTTCTGTGCCCTCTGATCCTGTTTGTTCCATGCATGGACCTGCTCTGTGCACTCTGATCCTGCCTGCTCCCTGCTCAGACATGCTCTGTGCACTCTGATCCCTTCTGCTCAAGGCATGGACCTGCTCTGTCCCCTCTGATCCTGTTTGTTCCATGCATGGACCTGTTCTGTGCCCTCTGATCCATGCATGGACCTGCTCTGTGTGCTCTGTCTTCTCTGACCCATGCATGGACCTACTCTGTGCCCTCTGATCCTGTTTGTTCCATGCATGGACCTGCCCCGTGCCCTCTGATCCTGCCTGCTCCCTGCTCAGACCTGCTCTGTCCCCTCTGGTCCATACATGGACCTGCTCTGTCCCATCTTTCCCACGCATGGACCTGCTCTGTCCCCTCTGACCCCATCTGCTCCCTGCCCCACCCCAGTGAGGGATGCAATCACACAGGTCCTTCCCTCTGCCCATTCCTGGCTGGGATCTGTGCCCAAAGCCCTCCACCAGACCTTGGGGTGTCCCCAAGGGACCCTGGCCCCAGAGGCTCCTTCCCCAGACATACAGAAGGTGAAATATGACTTTCATCCCTCCAGATATTTTAATGACTTCACTTGGGAACCAAAGAAAAGAAGAGAGACAGAAAGATCAAGGACCAGTTGCTTAGTAACGAAAGGAGAGAGGCGCAGGGGATGGGAGAAAGGAATTTTTATCTTTTTATCTATTTTTTTTTTTTTTTTATGAGACTGTTTCACCACTTTCAGGAGACATGAATCCCCCACCTCTGGTGCCACATCCCACACAGATGCTCCCCTCTGCAAGGTCTGGGTTTCATCCCTGTCCCCAGGGCTATGGGAAGATCCATGTAAAACAGACAAACTCTAAATTCCTAGGACATCACCAGCAAAGAACAAAGGTGGCAGAAAGTGGTGCATAGAAGGATACTTTCTCAGAGTGACAGACAAGAATACAACCTCCACCACCACCACCTGAATTTTGTTGTTCTATAACACCACCAGCAAAACTGGGAGCCAGGCAGCTCCAGGCACGATTTACCGAGCTAATATTGACACATCCTGCCAGACCCCTCCCGTTCCAAACCTGCTCCTTCTCCTGCCCAAGCTCTCCTCCCAGCCAGAGGAAGCCAGCTGGGAATGGAGCTGGGGGTTTAAGCTGCCCGTGGCTGGCACTGACCTTTCCCTCCCAGCATGGCAAGCGTGGAGATGAGCTGAGGGCTCGGCTTCACACCCCTGAAAATGTCAAGCCCTGGCAGCAGGACTGGGAGAGCTGCTGGGAGCCCTGGCAGCAGGAGGGATAGCAAAACCAGGCTGCATTTAATTAAGAGCAGGCTGCATGCTGTTAACCATTTAGTGCCCTCCAGAAGGGAGCCAGTTCTGCCCCTGCCCACATGCTGAGGATGCTCTGGGGACCTTCCCAATGCAGGAAATGTTGCCAGTACTCCTAAAACCTGCTTGTTCTTGGTCACTCATGCTGTTCACCACCCTCACTGCTGTAGCCTGAGAGCAGAGGTCTCATCCCTCCCTGTGGAGCCCTTTGCCCCCTCATCTTCCCTCCCACCCCTCACCCAGTGATCTCTAAGCCACAGCAGAGGGGAAATGAAAGTCCCTGACATCCCTGCTCCGAGTTTCCATGGGAACACAAGTGCTGCTGGTCCTCCCAGCCCTGCAGATGCTGACTGCAGAGCAGAGCATCCCGGCAATGCCAAGGATGAGAGAGAAAACCACCCCTATCCTACCCCACAGATCAGTTGAAAAATCTGCCCAAAATTCCACCTGCTGCAGGCAGGGGACAAAACCCTGTTCAGCAGCTGTATCATCACACAGGTTCACATCTCATCCCAGTGCTGAGTAAGGCTGGAGATCCAGCTGGGACTCTGCTTTGGCACCGAATTCCTTTTCCCTGCCAGGCACAGAAGTGCCACAGCCATGAGAAGAGTTTGAATCCTAAATTGTAGGGGGATAGGAAGGACCAGAGGAGCAGGGAGGTGAAGCACAGGCCACTAAGGGGAAGGGGAACAGGGAAAAAGCAGGCTCCCATGAGGAGGAACTGCTATGGGATATCAGGATGGCACTCTGCTCCCTGCTTGGCTCGTTTCCCCAGCGTTTGTGATGTGCTGCAGAGCTCTATCTATTATCTCTATTATCTATATCTATTATCTGTATCTATTATCTGTATCTCTATTATCTATATCTATTATCTGTATCTCTATTATCTATATCTATTGTATATATCCATTATCTGTATCTCTATTATCTATAGCTATTATTTATATATATTGTATATATCTCTATTATCAATTGTCTATATCTCTATTATATATCTCTCTTATTTATATCTTTATTATATATTATCTATAGCTATTATTTATATATATTGTATATATCTCTATTATCTATATCTCTATTCTCTATATCTCTTATTATATATCTCTATTCTCTTTATCTCTATTATCTAGATCTATTATCTATATCTCTATTATCTATATTATCTATATCTCTATTATCTATATCTCTATTATATATCTCTATTATATATTTCTATTATCTATATCTCTATTATCTAGATCTATTATCTGTATCTCTATTATCTATATCTCTATTATATATCTCTATGCTCTATATCTCTATTATATATTTCTATTATCTATATCTCTATTATCTAGATCTATTATCTGTATCTCTATTATCTATATCTCTATTATATATCTCTATGCTCTATATCTCTATTATATATTTCTATTATCTATATCTCTATTATCTAGATCTATTATCTGTATCTCTATTATCTATATCTCTATTATCTATATCTATTATCTATATCTCTATTATCTATATCTCTATTATATATCTCTATGCTCTATATCTCTATTATATATTTCTATTATCTATATCTCTATTATCTATATCTATTTTCTTTATCAATATTTTAGGACTAGTGTGAGTCAGGGCCTTTCCCTCAGGCCCTTATCCACCTGATATTTTCCTGCTTCTCCTCACTGGCTTCCCCCTGCGGGCAAAGCCTCTCTGGGAAGGACCCTGGGAATTTCACCTACCTGGAAATGCAGCTGCCAGGGCTCGGGGCTGAGCTGCTGCAGGTCCTGCAGGTGGGTTTTTCGGAGGGGGTTTTTCACCAGGGCTGTGCCAGGATCGCTGGCTGTGGGCGCCTTCCTGCGAGGCTCGCGGTCGGAGATTTGGGTGGTGCTGTACGCCCGTCTCCTGGCCAGAGCCTTCACATCCCTTCCTGAACCGTGGGAGAGAGGATCAGCTCCACTCCGGAGTGGGATCAGCCAGAAACACCCCCCTGGCTCAAGGTGGGAGGCAGGGAGTCCTCCCCAGGGTCCTGCCAAAGCTCAGGGGGACACACTCAGCCCTGAAAAGTTTTAAACAAAGCAACGAAACCACAAAAGGAAACAAGAAACACTCCAGATTCCTGGGGATGTCAAGAGAGCAGGTTGGGAAGGTTTTGTCTGAGGAGTTTTCAGCCAAAAAAAGCCTGACTGCATTTCCCCAAACCTCCCTGGAGAAGACAAAGGGTTTGCTAATGAAATTTAATTAGTGCAGACACGCTCCTGTCAGAGCAAGACTAAAATTTGCCTTGGAAAGACACGATTTCTCATTGCTTTTGACAAGTTTGAGGGGATGCACAGAACAGCTCCTCTTGGAATAAAAGGGAAGAACATCCCATGAGTAACAGAGGTTTCCCCAGCTCCAGGGTGCAACCAGCTGCTTTATGCCAAGTGCTGCTGACACAAACACCCAGCCAGGCCGTGGTGGGGAGGAGTGACACCCTGGGGAGAGGGCTTTGGATCCATTTCCCCCCTCTCCTGACTTCCCAGGAGAAGTCAGGAGAGCTGACTTCTGTTTTGCAGGTACAGGGATGGTCTAGCAGAGCTAGACTCACTCCTCTCCTCCTCACACCGCTTGGGAAGCTTGTAAATAATTATGTGGTCAAAGCTAAAGCTGCTTTGAAAATCTCCAGGGAACCCAGCTCACCAGGGCTTCCCTTGATTTCCTGACAGGTTTGGATAAAACATCCAAACCAAACAGACTTGCTCAAGCCTCAGGAGATCTGTCATCTATCCTGCAAACTCCTCCAGCTCTTTGCAGCTGAAGACATGTATAAATCAGGCAAAAAAAAAACAAACTGGGGGAGCAGTGACAGGAGCTTGATTAGAGAGAGAGAGAGGGGCATCACCCCCGGCATGTACAGAGGAAAAGCTGACCCGTGTCCGTGTCCGACTCTCCCCCAGGATCTCTGCCCACGCCCAGGTGGTCGGGGGAGCGCTCGGCGGGGCAGGAGCCCTCCGAGTCTCTGGAGTGATTCCAGCTCTCCAAGCCTGCTCCCTCCTCCTGGGAGTGAAAGAAAACAGAGCTGCCCGACTCCTGGGAATGCATCATGCTGTACCGCCGCCTCTTGTCCTGGGGGGAAGCACAGAGAGGGAACAGGTCCCAGCACCGTGTCTGTCCAGCGGCTCCCAGCTCAGACAGGCTGCACCAGCATCCTAAGCCACTGCTGCCCCCCAAAATCCCACCCATCACCTCCCTTAAGGACACAGCTGGGGAGCAGGAGACACCCCCTGACTGTGCACAGAGCCAAGACTCTCATGTACACCCCCCAATCCTGGGGCAGCCCCACAAACTCACAGATCTGGGGTTGGAGATGTACGGGGAGGTGTCGCAGATGACCCCGTAGCTGAGCAGGCGGTCACCAGGGAACAGGCAGCTGCTGCTGACAGGGGACACCAAGGCCTCGGTGCTCTCAGGAAAGACCCACTCCACGGACACGTCGCTCAGGACCGGGGCCATGGCCTTCTTCAGCGAGCTGATCATCTGCAGAGAGCAGGGAGAGAGGTTCAACACCAGCTGGACACGGTGTGAGCCATGGTTCCTTTGGCAGGGATGGGAAATATTCCCTCAAACAAACCCACCAGCTGATTCCTACCCTCTCCTGACAGCCTGCTTCCTCTTAGCCCACTCTGAGACCCATCCCAGCACCCTTTTGGCACAGCTATACCTGACAGAGCTGGGTTAGTGCTTGGTCTTTTCCATCCTAAATGAGTCCATGATATTTTACCATGAGCAGATAGTGATGGAGCACGGGGCTGATCTCACACACCCTGCCAGCAAGGTGGGAGCTTATGGCCTGAGGGATCTTTCTCTGATGTGAGGCAGCATCTCTTGCTCCCCACCAGCGCCCAGGAAACGCTGTCAGCCTCCACTGGCCTGAGCCCCAGCCCTTGTCCCAAGCCTGGCACTCACACACTGATATTTTTGGAACAGCTCGTTGCTGGCACAAGCCACTGCCAGAGATCAGCAATGCTCTGCCAGTCACACATGTGGAGAAGACCAATATCTGTGAATACCTCATGGACAAACCTGCCAGGGAGCCATCTACACAAGCTTCCCTGCATGCCAAGGGAACTGAACACCAGATTTAGAGACAGAACAGCTCAAATATTCCCTATTGTTCCCTGCTTTTTCACAGGGTCAGGAAGACACACCAGGCTGTGTTTTGTAAGGCCATTAATTGACGCCTGAGACTGCTGAAGGCACCGAGCTGCACAGCCTGCAAAGCTCTTATTAATAGCTCTTATTAAACACCTCTCTGCTCACTGTCTTTGCTTTTAATTTACATCAGAAATGTTGATGCCATTCTGACTTAGAGAGGTTTTTGTGTGCTCCTGGCTCCTGCAGAGGGTGGAGTTGCTGAACTCCTTGAGAGATCAAGAAGGTAGGAGCCGGATTTTTTGGAGATATTTAGGAACTAAGGACCCAATTCTCTCTGGGTTTAGTCAAGCAGCAGGTGACAGGCTGTGCTATGTGCATTCACCAGGGGACAGAGCCATCCCTACGCCGGATTTGAAGCGCACGGTTTTACTCCTCAAGGGGAGAGAGGGAACGGAGAGGCTTTAAAGTCAGCTTAATAAGCAAAGCCATCACAGCACATTCCTCTCGCTCCAACCCCGAGCCCTTCTCGCCTCAGCAACGCCAGGGCTGAGCCCGACTTCAAAACTAATTGGCTGCTTTGATGCCGGTGCCTCTGCCCTCGCCCCATCTGAGGCAGAGCTGCCTTTGAAGGCAGAGCTGCTGCATGGGGCTCAAACACACAAACCCCGAGGTGCTCCGTCATCCCCTCGCTCCCCACCTGCCAGGGGGGCTGGGAAGGCAGGGCCGGGGTGGGGAATGAACCTGATGTTCAGGGGAATGAACCTGCTGGGAGCTGTGGCCTCCAGGACCAGGGCATGGTTACAGCCCCATCCCCGGGGAGTGGGGCTGTACCTTGGGCTGCAGCCTCTCGCCCTCCGCCAGGAACTCGGAGACGCCCCTGGACACGACAGCCAGGCTCTGCACCAGCCTCCTGCAGGCCTTTGGCCCAACACCGAAGCTGTAGCACCTGCAAAGGGACAGGGGGAATCAGGATCCAAAGGAAAAGCTTCCCCCCCCCAGCCCCATGTAGCTCACACACTCCCACAGGCAGAAACTCCCTCTGGCTTTATCCCACTGCTGTGTCCAGTGGAATAAACCAGCCCCGCTTTCAGGTGGGTTGGGAACCTCCCAGTGCCTAAAGGGGCTCCGAGAGAGCTGGAGAAGGACTTTGGACATGGTCATGGAGTGATGTGGGGAATGGCTTCCCACTGCCAGAGGGCTAGACTGGATATTGGGAAGGAATCCTTCCCTGTGAGGATGGCCCTGGCACAGGGTGCCCAGAGCAGCTGTGGCTGCCCCTGAATCCCTGGAAGTGTCCAAGGCCAGGCTGGACGGGGTTTGGAGCAGCCTGGGCTATGGAAGGAGGGTGGAAGGAGATGGGCTTTGAGGTCCCTTCCAGTCCAAACCATTCTGGGGTTCTGTGAACTGCCAGCCCCCTCCTCTCAGCAGACCCCAAACCCTCTCCCCAAAGGCCAGCCTTCAGCAGCGACACACAGGGGTTCCCAGGAGCCTTCCCCTCCTCTGCAAAAACAAACAAGCTGCTTTGCTCTCAGTTCCACTCTTTTCCCTGCTGCCTGTGGTCAATAACAGTGAATATCCAGTAATTATCTCTGCTTGCAATGAAAACAAACGTTTTCTCAAGGAAGGAGGATCAAGCCAGGTCAGGCTGCTCCCCCAGGTCTGTGAATCAGGATTTGGTTTGGGCTGGAGGCTGGAAGTGGAGCCCAGGCAGGGAGTGGGGGATGGATGTGCCAGGAAGCCAGGAGGATGGGAATGGGTGGGATATGGCATTTGGGCAGGGCAGTGGATTGCTGAGAAAGAAAGCACCTTCAGCAGCAAACTGCATCTGCACAAGGAGCTTTTCTCTTGGAGGGTTTTAATCCTCAGCTGGCTGCAAATCCTAGCCCAGTCCCACACCCCTCCTAAATAAGGCTCTGATCTTCTTTTCATATGGGCCATGCCCAGGACTCTCCCTTCCAGGGTCACCCCAGACCACGCTCCAGCTCTGACTGCATTTAACCCTCCCCTCCAGCCCTGCAAGAGCCAGGGCTGGGATGGTGGGATGCCCTCTACTCTGGGAAACAACCAGACCTCTGTGCACTTACAAACCCACAGAGCAGCTTCCCTGATAACCCCAAAGTCTGAGAGATGGAAGAGGAATCAGGATTTCTTACATTTTTCTCATGTTTTGTGCCCCTTAAAGAGGCAGACGAGAAAGCAGAACAGCCTGTGATCAGGGCTGGGGAGCCAGGCTGGGAGCTCATGCACGAATTAGCTGCTTTTTACATTGCTCCCTTTCAGCATATTCAATTCTGCACAGCCCCATCCTGGAAGCAGCTGGGGCCAGTCCCAGATGTGCTTTTAAAAAAAAAAAAAAAAAAATTCGAAAAAAAGCAAGGAAGATTGTTGGCGTGTCAATCTCTCCTAGCAGGAAGCATCAGCCGAGAGCTGTGAAGTTGTCAGCTCAATTATCCTGCTTTTGATTGTTTAAAAAGCATCTGAACTTCTGGGATCCGTTCCAAACCCTTTGAGGTTCTCCCATGGCTCATAGCAGCAATCTCTCCTGCCTCTGTCTCTGAAGTGGGGACGTCTGTGAGATGGAGCTGTGCTCAAGGGGAGCCACATCCCAGCCTGTGCCAGGATTCTGGCCCTGCAGGGCTGAGTGGTACCTGGTGGAGCAGGAGTGGTCCCGCAGCAGCTCCAGAACCTTCCCCGTGTTGCTGATGGCCCCGCCCGTCAGCAGGAAGAGCAGCCGGGGGTGGCCCCTGTGGATGGGCTGGCGGGTGACCCACTTCAGTGGGGAGAAGAGGTTGGTGCTGCCCATATCAGCCTGGATCCTCCTGATGCTCTGGCAGGCCACGGCCAGGCTCTCCTGCCCAAAGGAACGGTGGAATCGTCAGCACCAGAACCCTCCGAGCACCAAGGAGAACCATAGGAGAGGCTGAGGGAGTTGAGGCTGTTCATCCTGGTGAAGGGAAGGCTCTGAGGAGACCTTAAAGCCCCTTCCAGTGCCTACAGGGGCTTCAAGAGAGCTGGAGAAGGACTTTGGACAAGGGCATGGAGTGACAGGACAAGGCAGAATAGCTTCAAGCTGGAAAAGGCCAGGGTTAGATTTGGTTTTATAAGGAAATTGTTCCCTGTGAGGGTGGGGAGGGCTGGAACAGGGTGCCCAGAGCAGCTGTGGCTGCCCCTGGATCCCTGGAAGTGCCCAAGGCCAGGTTGGACGGGGTCTGGAGCACCCAGGGATAGTGGAAGGTGTCCCTGCCATGGCAGATCCCTCCCCACACAAACCAGTCTGTGATTCTGTGCCCTGTGGGCTCACCCACCTCACAGTAGGCCTGGCTGACAGGAAAAAGGGTCTTGAAAGTGGATCCAAACCCAATGATGTTGAAGAGGCACGCTGGCATCAGGCTCTTGAGAATGACCAACAGGGCATCCTGAAAGCAAACAGGCATCAGAACACTTGGACTCTGCCTGGCTGCCCCAACTTCACCAGTAAAAGCTCTGCCCAGAGCCATCCCATCTTATTCCCACCTTCATCTGACAACAAACCAACTGCTTCTTTCCCATGCCTGCTTTCCAAAGTCCCTTGATGATATTTGGGACCCGAAGCAGTGAGGAAAATGGGGAGCCTTTGGGAAAAATAAAAAAAAAAAGACAACAAAGAACTGAACAATTTTTTTCTGTTTGTTTTTAAGGGATTCAATTTGTGCTGGCAACTCAGTGCTGCAGCACAGAGCTGGTGGGTGAGAAGCAGAGTGTGAAATTGAGAAGTGCGACACGCAATGCATCTCAATGCCTAAACTTGCAGAAAATAAACAAACAGCTTAAAGTTACACAAAAGGAAAAGCCTCCCCCATCCCCAATTCTCTTGTATTCATAACTGGCTTCAATTAAAATAACTGGGAGACGACAGTTTTAAGCTATTTTCTTTACCAGAGGTGGTTATCTAATGTGCCTATTCCTGGGTTTTACATAAGGCAGAGCAACTTGAATTGTCACAGTGATATTGTGGACAAGTCCAGGGCAGAGCTTGTGATCACAGCAACTGGGCAAGAGCTGCCTAAGGAGCTCTTGAGCTTGTAGCAGCAATTATGTGGCAGGAGAGGAGGCCCATTTAAAGCAAAGTGTTTATTTAAAGCAAAATGTAAAGCAAAGTGTTCAGGAGCAGCTCAGTTCTATTTAAATGCTGATCAAGGCAGACTCCTGCCAGTCTGCCGAGGGCAGCAGAAACCCTCCAGCCAGCCCCTGGAGGAGCTGCCAAGGTCAAACGAGCAAGAACATCCTCCTTGAGTTGTCCTACCAGTGGCAAAGACACAGCAAAGCCCCTGCCTGGGTCCAGCAGGGATGTGGTGCCAGATCAACCCAGCTCCCAAAGCCTGTAACACTCAGCAACAAACCAGAGCTGGAGCACTAAAAATCAGTGGAATGATGTACAAGAACAGGGCTGCCCTTTAACAAGCTCTGGAGTACTTGAATCCAAGCTGTTATCTCAAACCTACGAGGATATATTTATACCACTGCTCCCAGATGGCTCCTGGGATGCTGGCTCTTCCAGATCTCAGTGCTGACATCCCATCTTGGAACTCATTACAAGGGAAAAAATACAAATTTCCAAATATTTCTCTTAAAGCACTTCCCAAAATGGGCAACTGATGCCTGCTTGCTATTTCAGCAAGCAGAAAGATTTATTGCTTCTTATGGTAAATATTGATCTTGATCCTGTTGCACTCCATAGCTATATGGCAACTCAATAAGGAGGGATGTTTGCTTCTAGAAAAGTCAATTTCCAGTTATTAGTGCAGTTTTGCCAGCGAGCACCATCACAGCCTGGCTCTCCTCCCTGGCTGCATCGGGGTGGGAAAGGAACTGGCTGCAGGAAATTTAAATTCCTGAATTTTCCACTCCAGCTGCTTTGGACGGGTGCCCTCCTGCTCCACACAGGCTCTTCCACGCCATCCCTGAGTTCATCCTGAGGCTGCACAGCTCCAAGACCCGTCATGCCATGTATCCAGGCAGCTGAGGATGATGCAGAAGGTTCCACCAAGCAAAACCCACCCAAACCCTCTCAGAACAGTCCCTGCTATGAGGTCCCTGGTGTCTGTGAGTGACAAACAAGGACAGGATACTCAGAGCAGGACAGTGGGTTTCTCCCTTGAGGTATCTCCTCCAAAATCTCCCTCAAAATATTTTTTTCCTGAAGGGGAACAGCCTTTTTCCTGTTTTTCCTGTGATGGGGTTTCCATTTCAGGAGCTCTCAGAGAAGGGCTCTGATCCTGCAGGTCCCCATCCTTGGGGGACAATCCTGCCTCCACCGAGTCTGCAGAGACTGTGCTGCCCAAAGCCAGCCATGCCAGGAGTTGGAAAGCAAAACTCCACCCTGGGACAAGATTCCCAGACTCCTAAAGATGCTGGGGGAAGGGGACTCAACCCCAGAGATATCCTGTCCCCCTTGGGAACAGCCTCCCTATCCCAGGGGATGTGCAGCAGCCATCTGCAGGCTCCCCAGCATCCCAATCCTTGCTGCTGAAGGTGTCTGTCCTTCTTTGGCAGTTCCCATGGAAACTGGAGACAGATGGAAAAGAGATGTGTTAGGAGATGGACAAGCTCAGGATTGGGTCTGTGGGAACCTCATGAGGTTCAACAGAACAAGTGTAGGGTCCTGCACCAGGGCTGGCTCTGGGTAAGAGCCACATCTGAGAGGGGAACCTCAGACCCACAAAATAATCCTGACAATGCTATTTTTTATTCAGAGAACTCTGAATAACTCCCATAACCATCCACCAGGCTGCTGGTGTTCATTTGTGTTTGGAAAAGGGATGTCTCGTGTTTAAATCTGTGGGTTCACAGAGGTGCCCATCAGCAAAACCTCTCCTAATTCATGGTCAGCACCTCCCTCCCCGTGGAGCTCTCTGGAGGTTTCCTCTTAGGCAGCCATCACCCAAAGCCCTCCTGGAGACAGGGAGAACTGGAAAAGGGATGCACAAAACATGCCAGCAAGAGAGGGAAGGAAAACAATTTTGCATTTTATGTGCTGATAGGAAGAAGGGGAAGAGAACGGGGGAGAGTCACCTTTGTTGCAGGTACCAAAGAAGCACCACGGTAGAGATGACTAAAACACAGCCCATAATTAACCCCCTCATCCCCTGATAATGAACTCTTATGCTCTCAGCACCCCCCTGCTCTCTCTCATTCATCCCTGTTGACAGGCAGGTACCTTGGCACGGCTGATGCTCACACCGCTCATGCTGCTGCTGCGGTCTACCAGGAAGATAAACTCTCCCTGGCCTTTCCGGAGGCCTGGCTGCACAGCCCTCAAGTCAGGGCAGAAGTTGAGCATGATGACAGGGTGGTGTGGGATGTCCTTGTTCAGCCTCTTCCTGATGATTTCCGTCTGAAAGAAAGCAGGAGAGAGCTCGAGACGTTGATTTTTCCAACGCGTTTCGATTCGAGTGGAATCGGAGCAGGGCTAAAAATGTGAGTGAGTGGCATTCTGTGGGCCAGAATCTGTTTCTTCTGGCCCCAGAGGTGACAACACCAGGGTGGGGCAATGTCCAGGTGTCCTGTTCTGTCCATACCCATGGTATTCACCACCCCTGCAAGTGTCCAAGGCCAGGCTGGATGGGGCTTGGAGCAAGCTGGGATAATGGAAGGTGTTCCTGGCCAAGGGAGGAATGGGACAAGATAAGCTTTAAGGTCTTTTCCACCAAACTATTCTGGGATTATATGGAGCAACTGCACACTCAGATAAAAGCCTGGGGAAGAAATCAAAAGACCTGGCCTTACTCAGCACCTTGCAAAACTGATTCTCCAAACATTTCATTAGATCCTTCCCGAAAACCTGGTTCATTAGCACAGCTTAGCATCCCACCGAGGCACACCAGAGGTTTTCTCCGTGGTCACTCACTAATGAAGTGTGAGATGCAGCCCTTGATCTGCTGCATTCAGCACTCCAATTCATTCCTGCCACCTCAGGTTTGCTGCTTTTTCTGCCCATTTCTTTTATCACTTTTCTTTGTAGGGATTGAAAGGCTTTGGAAAGCTGAACCGTCTGCTCCGGCCACGGTTCGATAGGAACCTGCATGATCTGTGCACTGCACACAGCTCCAAGGACTCTGTGCATTTTCTCTCCTTCTATTTCAAGTATTCATTACAAATGGGATAAAATTAAACTGATAAAAAGCTCTTGTGATGGGTTTCTGACGTGTGTATCAAGCAGGAATGGATTCACGGCCTCAGCTGCTTTGGAGGGAGCTCCAGAACCCCACATCAGCCCAGCCATGGCCTTTCACCCCTGGGTCTGAGTGTGGAAACTTGATCCTCAGGGGCTTTGTTTGCCTCTTTTCTCCTCTTTCTGACTTCTTTGCTTGTTGGTTTCAGAGGGAGTAAAGCAGACCCCAGACAACTCAGTCTGTTCTCTCCACCTATGAGTCACATTCCTGTGAGCTGATGACCAACCTTGGTTTTCTAAAACTCACTAATTCCCTGTGGCTCAACACACACACACACATGAGCTCTGCTTTCAGCTCTGCCTGAGTGCTGCTTCTCTGACCCAGTGAAAAGACAGGTCCCACTCACAGGAATGAGCCAAGCTCCCACTCATCCTCCTCCCTTTCTATGTTATGGGGTATAAATTAATCAGCTGCTGAGAAATCAAAGGGCTTTTCCCATTTACATTTCCCTCCAGCCATATGACATTATTTTCTTTAACAACTTTTCCAGTTTATCACACTCCAGACTAGAGTGTTCCTTGCTGCCTCTGTCCAAATACTGAATCATGGCCCTGGACCTATCCACAGAACTCTCTGGAATGCTCTTGGGTGTCCATGACATAAATCTCCTGTGTAATCAGGATGAGCCCATATTTTGGGATTTTTCACTGACTGGAGGGAATTTTACAGGCAAATCTTCAGTAAACAGCTTCAGAGGGGCTGCTATAGGTCAGCCAGAAAAGAAAACATCTCCTCACCTCCCTTCCGTTCCCCTTCACCCATTATCCAATTACAGGAAACTAATCAGATTTTGTTGAGGAAAGTTGATTCCAGTGTGCATCCATCCCCACCAACCTGCAGCTGACAGCATCCGAGCCTTTTGCATAACAGACTGAGGGAGGAGAATTAATTATCATTTACTGCTGAAATTTCTGGGCTAATTTAATTTAGGCCAAGAAGTGGCCAGTGTCCTGCTTTGAGCAGCACCAATTCCAGCCCATCATCTACCCCAGGTATTCCAGGCATTTTCTCTGCTCCCTGCAGTTGTTTCCCATCCTCCTGGGGCACAGGTGGCTTTCCTGCAGGGAAATGTCTCCAGAATGATCCTCCCTTAGATAATTTGACATGCTAAAGACGCAGGAATAATTAGGGAGCCATCCGAGGCGTAGCGTGGGTGTTTCATCTCGTTCCACCTGCCACACGTTGAACACAATTAGAGGAGATGCCTGCGGAGTCCCAGCCCTGCCAGAGAGAGCAGAGGGCAAAGGGAAAGGAGGAGAGGAAGGTTGACAAGTCTCTGGTGAAAGGAGAAATCTTAACAGCATGGGGAGACACCCCTGCAGCAGGTCTGGGATGTCTGCCAAGAGGGACCCAGGATCAGAGATGTGGAGAAGGAGTTTAGGGGAAATGAGCACACAGGAGAGCCCTGGCTGTGTAAAACAGGAGCTGACATTGTCAGCCCCAGCTGTGGCCACACAAGTACAACCTGTCTCTTAGGGGAAGACGCCCACCCTGGAAATGCAGAGGGCTCTGAGCTGTCTGCTCCTCTCCACTGATCCCAGACACGCCAAAGTGCTGGGCTGTCACTCATTCCTTCAGAACTGCTGGAAGACGAGGCACAAATCCCAGCACAGATATTTTTCTCTTTGCTGCTCAGCAGAACAAAGAGAAGTCTCTCCTACCTTGTCTTCAGTTCAGCTCATTATTCCCAGGAAAATCACTTCTTTCTCTCTGACAGCTACCCAGAAACAGTAAACATTTACTAAGTAATTAAAAGAATATTTTATTCTATGTCATTGCAATAATTATAATACCCTTAATGCTATCACAATGCACCTCTCTAATTATGCCATGCTAGACTAGCACTAATTATACACACAATAACCATCTCAGATCTCCTTCCCCTCTCAGTTTATCAGCAGCACTGCTGAATTTTCCCCTCTTCTTCCACACAAGCCCCTCTCTGAGGGAGGATGCCGCAGGTCTCATTGGGACAGTGTAACATCTGATGCTGGAAACAAGGAATCATCTTCTAGCTCAGCTCCAGTCCATGGAAAGCCCCAGCTAACACCTGCAGCTTGTGGTTCTCACCTTTTTCTTGGCACTGGGGTCTTTCTTAGTGCCTTTAATGAAATCGTTCTTCCCCTTCAGGTGTCGCTCGTACTCTGCAGGGGTCATGTCACCCTCTTCCATTAAGATGTGGGGCATGTGGGGCTCTGGAAATGCAGAGAATTGTGTGAAGAACAGCTGTGGTTACACTTTGGGTCTGGAAGAAATGCAGGTACCCTTGGGTGGGAAAATCTGTGAGCTTGGGGAGCTCAGAAAACCCTGAGAGGGTCCAGGATTAGCTCCTGGGAAGCTTAACTTTGACAATATTTGCAAAACCAGCGTTAATCCAGAGATGAGGATCCCAGGAAGGGGCAAGACCAGCAGAGGGGAAGCAGAGCCCACCTACCACTTGGATGGATCAGGATCTCCACGGGTCTGTCAAAGGTGTGTTTGTTGGCCAGCGTGATCACGATGCTCCTGGCAGAGCGAGCCGAGGGGTCGGCGTCAGCTCGGATCTCGTGTGTGGGGCTCTCAACTCCTGCCCAGGGAAACCAAGGAGGGGATTGAGGATGGGGGAGAGCAGGGAGAAGAGATGACAATGTGGCAGAGGACAGGAACCCACGTTAGCATCAACCCTGTACTGGTAAATCCACCCCAGCACAGTGAAGTTGCCAACACAGATTTACATTGAGGAGGAGTGTGGACATTGCCTTGGAGAGGTGATAAATCAGCCTTGGTGCAGCAGTTCAGCCCCAGTGCTCCTACCTGCCAGCAAACACGGCCCCCGGATCTCCAGGTGGAAGCTGAACTCGTACTCAAAGGGGTTGGTGGCCTCACTCTCCAGCAGCTGAGCCAGGCAGAACCTGCTCCCTCGCTCTGGGCTCCCTGATCCGCAGAGGTGCTTGTCCCTGCCAGTGAGATAAATCCAAATAAACCCTGTGAAGGTGTTCTATCGCCCCAGGAACTGCAGGTCTGCCAGAGGTAAAGCCTGCAGCCACTCTCCAGCCTCCTGTAGCTGCTGCTCAGCCAGCCCTGCATTCCCCAGGATCAGTCCCAGACAGAGCCCACCCCGTGGTTTTCCGTACGTTCGGAGCTGGTGGCTGGAAAAGCTGCTGGTGTTCTCCAGGCTGGGCTGGGGGACCCTGGGGACACACACAGCTGGCAGAAGGACCCTCACAACCCCGCTGGGCAGTGTCTGAAGCTCAGAGGAGGTGCTGATGAAGATGGAGACACTTTCCAGGGGAGGAATCGTGCCCAGGTTGGCCACAAAAACAATCCTCTCCAGGTCCTCATCCATCATAATCCTTCCTGCACAGAGATTGGAGCATGCCAGGTATTGTAGCCATGGAAAATGCTCCTTTCCAGGCCTCCCACACCCCCCAGCCCTGGATCAAACACCCAAAGCCGCCCCCACTGCACACATCAGCTTTCTCTAAAGAGCCCCAGGTTCTGCATCACTCCAGAAGCAGCAGTGCTTTCCAGGATGGATAAAATTGACACCTTTGGCATGAGCATCACAACCCCTCAGCCTCCCAAAAGGAGCCCCCTTGGTGCCATCACCAGCCAGTCACCCCCAGTCACCTCCCCACTCCTCTTCCCCTCCTTTTCTCCCCACATTCCCCTAAAAACACCCTCAACCCCCTCACCACTTCCATCAGCAGCTCTTCCAGGAGGGAGGCTGCAGCTGTCCAAGTAGGTGTCATCTATCTTGGCTTTGTCTTTGATCTGCACTGTCACGGTGCGCCGGGACACGGCCGCCTCGAAGCCCACCACAGTCGTGCCCTCGTCCAAGGGGTACACAAAGAGACCTGCCAGCCAGGAGGGGTGTTAGCAACACCCACCTCTTCCCTGGAGCCACCAGCCAGGTCCCTCTTGGCACTTCCCATAGTGGGGAAAAAAAAAAAATCCCACTTGTGGGATTTTTCACACCTAAAAAGTTGCAGACTTGGACACAACGCACTTGGTCGTGCTTCCCAGCAGCATCTAAGAGGTTGAAGGCACGCACAGAAACCCAGCACTGCCATATCCTGACTTTAAAGTTCCCATTCCAAGCGTCACTCCTTAAAACTTGCCTTCCAAAGCCTGGGGGTCTGGGTTGTGGTAGGTGAGCAGGGCTGTCATCCCAAAGGCGTAGCCGCTGACGCAGGATGTCACCTCGGACGCGATGAGGGGCAGCCGGGAGAGGGTCACCCGGTTAATCAGCCCTGGCATCTTCCCAAGGGGCTCTGGGTGATGGTGGGGAGCTGGAGAGAGAAAGGTGAGAATGAATTCTGGAGGCCTGAGTGCCCAAAATGTTTGCATGGTTCTGCCACCTGATTCTGAAGCCTTGAGGACAGAAAGGTGAGAGACGTGGGATGGGATCAGACCTGGGTTTGATGACTGCAGTGATGGGGATGGGGATGGGGATGGAGCAAGACCCCGGTGGAAAGCCACAAGGAAAACCCAAAATCCCCATTGCACAAGGGAGGAAGTTCAGATGAAACCTCTCTGGCTGGGGACAGACAGCCCCAGAGGTCCACAGTCCCCAGCTCCCACTGCTGGAGTCTGGGCAGGACACGTCAACATCTTTTCCTGTCCCTCTTTCTCCTCATTATCCTCCAAACCAACAACTTTCCAAACCAAGACTATGATCACGAGAGTTTTCCTTTCTCCTGGGGAAGGAAGAATAAACAGGCAGAGCCAGACATCCTCCTGCCTTCCCAAGCCCTCATCCTCGAGGATTTAGGGGAAGTGCCACTGCTCTGCTGTCCTGCATCTCCAGATCCTTCCTGCATGGGCTGACTCATCCCTCAGCCGACACATTCAGATGCAAAGTGACTCCTTCAGTCAATTACATTCCAACTCTTTTCCCCTAAGCAGGTTTTCCTCCCTTACAGCTCCTCTCCTCCAAGCCTCAGGGTTTTAAGGGAGACTTTTCAGGTGGATTTTAGGGCCACATCCTGCTCCCCCGGGGAAGCAGGAGAAGTTGCTAGGCAGCAGTTCTCCCTGGCTGGCTCTGCAATGCTTTATGCCGTGATTTACGAGGCCCAGGAGAAGCCAGCAGCACTGAAATACATCAGCTTCTCATTCCCTACCAGTCCTGCGTTATTAAAACACACCTTTATATGCAAACGCCACAAAGACATCAAAGCCACGAGCTCGATGAGTGCTCGGGCGTTCAGAAAGGAAAAAAAAGAGAGCCAGGGAGAGCAAGAAGGGCTGTCCAGGATGGGAGAGGAAACTGAGCACAGGAAACAGCAGTGAAGATGATGATGGAGGGCAGTAACCCAAAGGCACGCCCCTGAACCCCGCCAGAAACCTCAGCCATTCCCCATTTAATCCACCTCTCCTTCCACCACAAATGCTGCTCACGCCAGGAGCTGCCCAGGGAGGTCGGGATGCATCCATGGGGATGCAGCCCCCACAGTCAGGAGAGGAATGTGAGTCCTGCCTGAGCCAAGGGAGGCCATCCCACACTGGGATGCTCCAAGCTGTGCCAATGGGGCTTGGGAAGCCGGGAGCTGGCAGGAATTCACCTGAGATAACGCAGGTCCCATCACTCTGAGATGTGGCAGAGGCCATCAAGGTATTGGGAAGTGATTAAATGCCAGGTGCCAGGGAGGAGGGAGGGGGAATGATTTTACCTTGTAGGGAAGAAATAATGATGGGAAGAAGCTCTCTACCAGCTTGGCACAACAGGAATTCATTATGGGATTGCCAAAGGGGTGAATTTGGGCTGCAGGAGTGTGACTTCAGCTTGGAAGCAGGGACTTAGTGCAGAGCCATGGGTGAGATCCAAACCCCTCACATCTCCTGCACCCATGGAAGACTGGGGACATAACTCCCATGGGAACCACTCTGCCAGCAGGGATTTCTGCATCACCTGGGCCAGGACAACACTAAGAGACCTCTGCTGAGATGCAGAGCCCTGTGCCCTGTCCTGTTTAGCAGAGCCAGGAGAGTTGAACCTCTTGTGCAGCTCCCAGGTGGTTCAGAGGAGCCTGGCACCAGGCTCACTGCTGTGCCAGCCAAAAAATCAGCCCCACAAGGACAGAGAGGGCTCAGAGGGCTCTTCCCGGTAAAAACCCTTTGACAGGGGATGCTGCCAGCAGAGCCATGGGGCTGCTCCACACAGCTCGTGTCACCAACGCCATCAAGTGACTGCAGCGTGGAAAGGGAGAGCAGCAGAGAGGCTGCAGTGATGGAGAGCAGTGGGAAGGCTGGAATTTTTTCCCTGTGTCCCCAAGGAACTCAGCACCAGCCCCTTGCCTGCTCCCCATCCTGCCTTTGCTGCTCTGGGATGTGCACTCAGTCTCCGTTCAGGCCACAGGGCTGGACTCTCAGGATGCAGGATCCTGGTGGGACCCTGCATCCCAAAAAGAATTACCAACACCTTGATGCTGCACAGGGTGCCCCTAGACCCACCCAGTCCTCAGCGTGTCCCCTCACTGCCACCAAACGTGTCCTGCCTCCCACACACAGCAGGTGCAGGGCCATCCCACCCCAGACCTGGCCAGGTGCCTCCCGACTGCATCTGGCACACCAGGAAAAAGGGAAATACTTCAAATACATCTCCAAACACCTCAAAATACACCTCAAAATACACCTATAATCCCAGCAACCAGGGAGCACCTCAGGGATGGGGACAGATGTTGTCCCTTGGCCAGCCACGCTCTGGACCTGCCACAGCAGGCTGATACTGGATTGATCTTTTTTCCCCCCCTCCTTCCTTTGTAAGCATCCTTTCCATGACAATCCACTGCTCCTCCTGGCCACAGAGGGGAGGGAGACACGGAAACGTGATCACCCCACTCCAGGCAATACCCTCGGCCAATTCCTGTGCCCGACTGACGGGGAAGGCGCTGATGCTGCTGCCACGTCTGCTGATGGTCCCCGTGACCTCAGCACAGGCTCCAGCCCCTGCGTCTGTCCCAGCACTCCTGAGCACCTGGAGCTGGGTTTTATGGGATGGGAAAAGGTGTTTATGTGCCTGGAAAACCGGGGTGGTGCCTGGAGCACTGTTTGGAGCTTTCTGGGTGTCCAGCTGTGTCTCTAAGAGGTGATGTGCCCTTGAAAAATCTGTCTGAGCACGTGGAGAAAAGAATAATGCTCCTCTGAGGTGTATTTTCGTGTATTGAAAAGGAAAATTGAGCAAACGGTGAGCACACAGCCTGGTTTCTGGCAGGACCCGACTCCCAGGAGTGGGTTGGGGTCCCAGCTGTAGCACAGCACAGGATCTGTGGCTTCCACAGCCATAAACAGGATTGGGAGAACCAAAGCTGGGTTAAAACCTGACACAGCTCCCCCCGGCCTGAAGGGCAGGAATCAGGGGCAGCCCAGTTATTTCTGCCCCCCAGGACAGGAAGGCAGCCGTGTAAAGCCCAGCCCTGGTGCCACACTTTGTGTCAGACGCATTTTTGAGCAACCACTGCTCAAAGTGCTGCAAGACCTGACCGGCCACAAACGGGTTCCCTTGGAGATCTCGGCTGCAGGTCCGAGCTGGACCTGGGCCACATCCCCGCTGCTCAGAGGACGCCTGGTTTTTCTGCGGCTGGGTAAAATATTCCTTCCACGTCGTCTGTCTCAATCAACACTGACATCCAGTGGCTCGCAGGGATGACGACAGCCGGAGCGCCCTGTGGAGATGTACAGGTGGACAGAGCTGGCCAAGGATGCCTGTTGCACCACAGCTTTTCCATCAGCATTCCTGGGCCATCACCACGGGGAAATAAACTTCCTCCTGCTTGTAAATCCGAGACAGGAGAAGCCTTGCGCTTCCCAGACTTTCAGGGCTCTCAAGTGGAGTCACCCTTGGGAATTCTCCCTGGTTTTCAGGGGCAGCAAGGCTCAGGGAGCTGCTGAGGGACCCCTGACTTCACCTACCTGACCCACATCACTGCAGGTCATGACTAAGACATGCAGGAGTCCTCCAGCTGCTTTCTCCCAAAGCACAAGGCTCAAACCTGGCCAGGAAACTGGGATCACCCCCCAAAATATCTGTAGGAAGACACAGGAGGAGATGAGGTTTGAAAGAGCACCCATAGCACTGTCCTGTCTGGAAAAGCCATGGATCCACCATGGCAGAGCTGTGAGATACTCTCAGGAAAAGCTACAGGAGCTGTTCTTCCATCTCCAGCCTTGAACTGCAAGCAGAATACCCCACTTGGAGAAAACCAGGAAGGAGAACAGCCACTGCAGGCCCCCAGAGGGTGACACCCCCCACTGCCACAGCAGTGACAAGGCTTGCTGGCCCCAAGGGCACCCTGAGGCCTCAGATATGGGAATTGGGGAAAGGTTAGGAAGCAGCTGCTCCTGCCAGAGCCCAGTGGAAGCAACCGGGTCCCCCCTCCCGAGGTGATGCAGTGCCAGGATGGGACACGGCTAACAGCCCTGGTAGGGACAGATTTTGGGGACTGCCAGCCATAAATAACCCTGGCAGGTGTCTTGGACCATCAGCCTGGCCCCAGAGTTAGGTCTCACAGACCTGGGTTTATGTCCCAAGCCCCTTCCTAGAGCTGTTAATGACATGTTTCTGACACAGGGGTTTAGTTAATCCCCAGCTCTCTGGGCTCAGAGCTGGGGGATGATCCCTGGGCAGAGCCAGAGGGGGAGTGTTGGCCCAGACAGGGTCTAAACCCACCAGGCAGCCTGATTCCTGCTGGGGTGCACCCACATCCAAGGAGACACACAGGGCCCCCAGGAGCAGCACAGCCCTTCTCCATCCACCCCTGTCCTGCCCTGCCCCAGCCAGTGTGGTGGATTCCAGCCAGATCTCAGTGTTTTGACCCTTTAATGGGGGGATCAGCCCCCCTCACCCTGCCAAGGTCACTCCTCCTTCCCCAGACACTGTGTCCATAGACAGGTTATCCCCCTTGGCTGCCCGGGACAGCAAGAACCTGTCACCCCCAGCATCATCCCCCTGTCCATCCCTGTCCTCTGCCTGCACAGAGACAGACACAGTCACTACTAATGTCTGTACAATTTTTGGGGAGGGATGGGATGTTCTGGGACTCACCATCCAGCTGGGAAAAAGCAAGGCTGGGAAGCAGCAGCTTGCAAAGTGTGGGCTTGTGCCTGCACAAATATTATGACAGGGATCTCTTCAGTGAGCGGCTTTGTGCTGGGATGGTGCACAGCCTTGGGAAGTGACACACACACACACACCCCTCACACCCACCCCTGCGGAGCTAAAAAGGTGCAGGAGCAACTGGAGAGTAGCCACTGCTTCTCTT